TTGTTTACATCTTGATCTCCGATGAAAGATGTTCAGTTCTTTTATTGAATCTGAACTGTGCCAGGCTCCGATCCTCAACTTCACCTTTCCCCTTCAGTTGCGATATGATTGCTCACCGATCTGATTCTGCACTCCCAGGGATGCTAGTTGCACTTCAACTCGTCGTCACGTCACCGGGCCCCAACTTAAAAGGTACGTGTCACCTTTTCTTCTTCATTGCCCAAGACACAGAAAAAGCACAGCATGATGACAGAAACTGACGTTACCTTATTTCTGTAACTTGGAAGGTTTGTATCTCTGAGGGACCAGAGCTGTTGTTCTGAACTTGTGATGGGTCTTCATTTCCTGCACCCCCACTTTATCCAGGGTATATTTTACAGCTGCTAACCGCCAGGGGTGTACTTGCTTCAGGATCCCGTCTGGTCAATCGTGATTCCGATCCCATAATCTCCCTCGACGCCCGTCTCCTCATTTTACCCCTCAAGGCCCGCAAGTTCAGCTGCCAGTCCGGCCGCGACTTTTGGCAGTTGATGCAGCGCTGCACTGCTGCCCTTGCTCAGTCAGCTCTTTTTGTTGACATGCCCCTGAACATTGCCCCGCCAACCGCCCCGTCATCTCTGTCCCATCCCTGCCACCGATCCTGCTGCTGGCCAAGCCCTCCTGCCGACCCTGGCCTCAGCAGCCTCCTTCTCTAGCACCACACAAGGACAACCGAAGAATCCTGCCCTTTCTCACACACTTTTTTAACCACCCCCCTTTTCTTCTCTCCTCCACAGGTAGCCAGTGCCACCCTTGACCTGTCTCCTGGCATTCTCATCCCGAAGCATGCTACCACCAGCCCTAGGCTCAGTGATGACACAACATCTCTGTCCTGCTACTGTCCTGCACAGCGAAGCAGTTCAGTTTTGTTCTCTGAAGGCCGTCTCTTGCGGTCCGTAGAGCCCTTAATTCCAATCTCTCCTCCATTTGCTTCGGGGGGAGACCGAGGGCGAAGTTGCCTGCCTGCCCAGTGGGCTGGTTTTCTGACGTCATCCCCGGGTTGTTGGAGTCCTAGTTTCCAACTTTCCCTTACCCCTGTACTGTGTCTCGGGTCGGCACTGCTGGCCCCTCGGGCCCAATGATGATTGAGCATTCTGTCTTGCAAATGCAGCGGTTTGTTCCACTACTTGAGGGCTTTGATCATTCATTTTCTTGTTATGCTGTACTCTAGTTGGTTGGTGTGTCTGTTGGTGGGGGAGAACTAACGAGGGAAGTTGCCTTCCAAGTGGATTGACATCTTGAGCTCGCGCCTCCTTCGGTTTCCGGAGTTTCCTTGCGTACTGTATTTGGGCTTTCGGCATGTGCCGACGCAGAGAACCGAGGACGAAATTGCCTGCTCACCGAGGGCGTTTGTTTTTCTGCCCCTTGTTCCTGACTGTCGTTGCAGTTTTTTCTTTTCTACCCGTGTTCCTTGGCCCAATGACGACACAACATTCTGTTTTTCAAACGCGGCAGTTTGTTCATGTAGCTGAGGGTCAATTCTTGCTAATCTGGCCCCGAATTTTGATCAATATTCCACATTATACTGTATCTTGGTTGGCCAGTATGTGGTGACATGGGGTTGACCGAGGACGAAATTGCCTGTCCAGTGTGTGGGCATTCTGAGGTCTCAACGCTTTTGGTCCAGGCTGTGGTTGGGGTGTGTTGTTTTCTCTCTCCGTTGTCTTTTCGATTGTCAGGGTGTTTCCTTTTCTGCTCCTGTTTGTCTTTGGCTTTCTCTCTGTTCTGCCTATCATGAACCTGTCTGTGAAGCCGTTAGATTTCCGAGGCACTTATTCTTTCTGTTTTCTTTTCTGTTTTCTTTTCTGTTGCCTTTTTGTTTCTCCAGCTTCCTTTTCTTTTCACTTTCATTCGGCCTATGATGACATTGTCAGCCCAGTGGCTCCACATCTGAGGCTATTTCTTTTTTCTTTTCTCACTTGATATTTTTCCTACATCTGTTTCCGTCAGGTATTCCCCTCTGTTTCCCTTTCCTTGGGATATGGAAGTTCAGCCTTCAAGGCTTAACAAAAGCGATTATGATTAGTGTCTCATGGAAGACTAAGGTCTTGAGCTCCAGAGAGTGGGTTCTGGGGTTTATTTTGACTACCTATTCTGGTCTTCTCTTCCCGAGCTAAGATTTAGAGCAAGGTAAAGGGAACAAGGAAAGAATAATAGCCGGGGAATGGAATGGTAAATATAAGGGGGGGCACTTCAAGGCGCGAGGACTCAAAGCCAACGGCTATTAGGAAAGGTCTTGGGATGACTGATGGATTCAGGCCGCTTGGCGGAATATAAACTGGCAAGGAGACTGGAATTAGAGGCTATAGAGGCTATGGAAGAGGAGGTGGAAGTGACTGAATCCGAAGTCGAAGGCGATTAAGTCTTCAGGGTCCAATAGGGCCTTTTCTTATTTTGCAACCGTCTGTATAATTTTTCTTTAAATACCGTCTCCTATCTCATACCGACATAGGTTTTCATCCAGCCCACAAGGCACGGTTTTCCCTATGTATAGAACAGCAGAAGGACCGGCACACTCTTTTAATCTAGGGTAGAGCGGAGTAGGAACAATAATAAATATAAGGAAGAAAGCGGGAAGTAGGAGAAAAGGGCTGTGTACCGGCCACCAAAACAACGTGCATTCAAGAAAATCGTGCACTCTGGAGTTCGAGCGACTGGGCAAAACCTCAGGCGGAAAAATACAAAGCTACCTATACAAGGAAAGAAACGAGGGTTTCCCCTCCCCACATTGTGGGAGATGTGTGGAGGTGCGTCATCATTGATTTGTAGTATCCCCCGGTTGCATATTGCCGAGAAAAGTCAGTTTGAGGAGAAAACGAGGCAGGTGACTTGTCTGGCAGTACTGTTCTATTTGGAGGCCGAGACTTCACAGAGACCGATGATGACACACACACACATATCTCCCCCCTTTCGTGTCGGGGGAGAGAGACCTGTCTTGATTTGGCTTATAGATCGAGTGTCAAAGTCTGAGGTCTGTATCATGGCCTTGTCAAAACATGCTTTTTGAGGGTTCTTGGGGGACAATTCCCTTGTCTTACCGTTGCGCAGACACACTTGCACCCGAGGTTACTATAGGCCGGAAAGTTTCCAGACATTGGGTTGTCTGCAGCTAGTACTGATCAATGATGACAACCATACACGGTACCTTACAAGAGAGACGCCATCTTTCCTTTCTATATAGGTTCAGGGTTCCAATATGAGGCCGTGCCATCTTCACACAACACATGCCAGACTGCCTGGGGGTTGCTCCTCCTTTTTTGAGCCACATCTTCTATCAGAAACATAAGTATGCGAGGGTTTCTGTGAAGTGCTGTCCTTGGTTTGAGGCTCTGGCCTTTGCTGAAGAATCTGCCTTTTTGTACCACAGACCGATGATGACAACCAAACACACATCTCTTCCACAAAGAGAGGTCGATTGCTGTAGAGAATAAGTCTAAAGCCTCGTTACTTCTTCCATAACATGCTAAATAGTTTCTTAGATCTTCGGTGATAACGGTGGCAGCGACCAAATTGGCGATAGGGAGATATACATCTACGCTGTCTCACTCCGCCATCTCACTCTGGAGATGGGCACTAGAAAGGAAGGAGCTGTATGCCAGGGTATTACCTACATTTCGAATGGAATTGTCTTGTTGATTTGGGAGAAACTTTTGCTTCAGCCGTGTGCTGTTATCTAAAAACTCTGCATCCATGCTAGTCCCATGCCGATACTGGTATTCGCTCTACTGCGAGTCACTGGCTGGGTAGATTCGTCGTCCAACTCCGCCCAATTGTTTCTCAATGGATGTATCTTCTATAGTTTGGCCTGTATTTTTTCGGCCCTGTCCGTCTCAGAATCAACGACAATACAGTAATCTACCGTTGACGGCCTTGTCCTTTTTACTTTACTTGCCCTTCGTGACATTCTGCCTGGGGGCTTGGCACAAATCTTCATCCCTCTCCCCGGTTCCTGGCAGTCTAAGCTTTGCCTAGTTAGCTCGGTGACGGAAAATCCTACTTACCCTACGACCTTCTGTAGTACTACCGCTATTGTCACGGATTTGGTGGTGAAGGACAGGATTACAGAGTATGCAAGGTTAGGTGGAGTGCAGGAGCAGAGCTCCGACCGGGGTTGCATCGCATGAAGATAGAGCTGCAAGCCCACACTTCTTCCTTTCTTCTGTATCTTACGGTTCCATTGATAGACTGGCAATGGTATTGGCCTTTGACCTACTTATGCCTCTCATTCTTGACAATGGCGGAGTGTGATATCTAGCAATGAGCTTGGCGCAGTCAACCGAACGTGGACGACAGAATCCATTCGAGGCCATCCAGGCATTGCGTATGGCAGTGAAGGTTTGTTGAGAGCAACGTGATTGAACATTGGGGATCGAACAACACTACATTCCTTTATGCCTTCAAATCCATGGCCGACAAGACGACTATACACTTCGAGGATTGCGATGCTGGTTTTGCGTCGTTGGAGGAGCCAATAAGATCCTGTGAGACCTGAGCATCCAGTGTAATGGGAGAACTTTTTAGCAAACTCTTTTCAGTCGGAGAAAACGGCTCACTGTGACCTGTCTACCTGCCTGCTCTGGGAAGTCCAAATGAAAGGATGAATATATGCGTTGAGAAGGCACGGAGAGAGGAAAAGCCCTCAGCTACCTATATACCAATTCGAGTTGGAAAGACTCACATTACCTACCTTCTGTGCTTGTGTGTTTTTTCACATGACATGATAACTACTAGCGTCACAAGCGACATTAATTTCCTTTAAGCTCACCAAATCGAGACAAGAATCACTCGGACCCGGAGGCTACTCCTTTTCGTTTTTTCTTCCATTCTTCGTTTTAGGTCAGGTCGTGAATTTTATGCGGAGGACAGCCAGGTGAGAATGTTTGCTTGCCGTTGATACTTTGCTACCTGTGTTGTCTTGAAATGATCAAATTCAGGTACGCAATACGTCTCAACACAAGACAGGGAGGGTAGCCGAGCGGCCCAAGGGGCTACGTTAGGGTTGTCAAACTCTTGGTCACGATTCTTTGTGTATAAGGATTCCGTAGTCTCGAAAGGGGCGCGAGTTCGAACCTCACCCCTCACAATTGTTTATTTTTTATTTTTTTATATCTTTTTTGTTCTCTCTCCGCTAAAGTTCATTTTTTGTGGAATGTGGATTATGGTCGTTGGAAAAGTGTCGAGTCCGGAAGGGGGTAGGGTTATGTTGAAATACAGCACTTATTTGTGGATTTTACAGTATGTTTTTGTTTGTGTCCCCGAGTCCTTAGCGGGCACCGTCAATGGTCCGGAGTCCCGGAAACTACGGGTATTATGAAGAACCCGGAACTTCGGAGAACACGGACATCATCGGTAGCCTGGGACCTTGGAAACCACGGACATCATCGATAGCCCGGAACTACGGGAACTGCGGCAGTGAAGGAATCGGAGGAAGGAAATGCGAGGACTGGATACCTATAACAGGCTCCTCTTGCAGCATATTCGAAGTATTCTGTTTTCTCTCTTTTTAAGTCAAGCTATCAAGTCAAGGTTAATATACTGGTTTTCCACACTCTCTTCCAGAGCATAGTCCTCTGTTATTAAGTGCCTACCATCTTATTCACAGGGCATAGTTCCCTATACCTTCCTCCTTACAGGGCACAGTTCCCTATGCCTGTCTTCCTTCAGTGACATTGCACACCGTCGTACAGCGCAGTCCAAGAAACCCTAGAGTTCTCAGGTTGTTGCTTCCACTTACTCGGCAGGGCCTATTCAACTGGCCTGCCAGAGTTATAATTCTAAACATCAGGTTATTGCTTCCACCTACTCGGCAGGACCTATTCAACTGGCCTGCCAGAGTTATAATTCTTAACAGGTTATTCTGGAGGTGGTTTCTTGGTCAGGGGTTCAGATGTTTAGGCAACTGGTTTATTGGCATTGTTTGTTTCCTAGGTAGGTAGGCAACCATCTTTTTGTTTGGATAGACATTATTTTATTTCTGACAGCAGCAGAGTGTCGAACTCTGCTGAGGGGCATCAATTCAAACATCTTGTTTAGAATTATAACTCTGGCAGGCCAGTTGAATAGGCCCTGCCGAGTAAGTGGAAGCAACAACCTGAGAACTCTAGGGTTTCTTGGACTGCGC